GATTTGATTAGCTTTCGTGGAGTTACGAAAAAAATCTGTTTCGGGCATTGTATTTGTTCGCTGTTCACGTGTCGCGATATTTGTTCCCGCTGTGTTACTTTTTCTGTGGTCTCTTGCTGTTTCCATTGACTGTTGTTTCTCCCTCGCTGGATTCTATAAGATCCTCTGTTTCTTTGGAAAACGTTTCTTTTTTTTTCTTTTAGTTCCACAACCGTTATCGATTGTTGGATATATTTATAATATATAAGTCCTTTCTTACGTGTGGGATTGTATAATCTCATTCTTTCGAAAGTTGTACTAGTAGCATGTATGTCGTGCCTGGCCTTGGCTTGATCACTTTGAAGCTTCAAACTTTTACGAGCAAATTTGTAGACTTTTTCCAATTTTTCTCTGAAATTTTCAATGTAAGTCGGAGATGAACGCATTCGCGGATGTTCGCTGTACTGGTAGTAGCCCGGGATGAGCCAGATCTCAAATACCGGGTTCGGAACATAGGTGGCCTCGTAAAGAAATGGTTGGCGCAGCACGGACTGAAACTTGCGACAGAGAAAACCGAAGCCATCATTCTGAAGGGGACAAGGAACAGGCAAAGTATTAAATTAAAATGTGCGGGGGCATGTCTAACCCCCAAGAAACAAGTAAATTATCTAGGAGTGACATTGCACCAGAATGGAAAATGGATGGAGCACGTGTGGGAGGTGGTCCGAAAGGCTGCGAATAGTGCGGTTGCGTTGGGGAGGGTGATGCCGACCATTGGAGGACCCAAATCCGAAAGGAGGAGGGTCTTACACGGTGTTGTACAGTCGATCGTCCTCTACGCGGCACCAGTCTGGAGCGAGGCGGTAGAGATAACGGCCTATAGGAGTGTCATCACATGAGTAGACAGAACAAGTCTGTTGCGAGTGGCATACGCCTACAGGACTGTGTCTGCGGCAGCCTTATGGACCATCACTGGATGTGTTCCGTTGCATGTTTTGGCGGTGGAAAGAAAAGAGCTTTATGAGAGAAGAGGCCAAAACCTTACTGTGGTTGAGAGAAGACAGGTAAGAGAAAGGTGAGTTGAAAGATGGCAAGAAGAATGGAACAACACGGAGGATGTGGCACAGTGGACGAAAATGCTGATCCCGAACATAAGAGCTTGGGTGGACTGTGGCCACAGGCGACTGGATTGTTTCCTGACGCAGGTACTCACAGGACACGGATGTTTTAGGGCCTACCTCTACAGGATCGGAAAGGCTGATACAGAGGAATGCCTATACTGTGGATACTCGGACACTGTGACACATACGATGTTAGATTGCAGAAGATGGATAGTGGAAAGGAACAGTATGGAGAGAACAAATATTTGTTAGGTACTTTAGTGCTACCTACAGTTTATCAAAATGCATTATTGATTAAAATAACATAATAGATCATTAAGTAGGTATTCATTTTCCTTTTTTTTAGTTTTATTTAATTTTATATTTATTAACAGTAGAGAGGAAATGCAAATAGTTAAAATAAAATATCAAAAACATTAAGTGGGATTCTCCTTTTTTATTTTTGTTAAAACAGTAAAAGATGAAATGCAAATTATTTAAATAAGATAATAAAACTATTCTGAGAAATACAAGTGTATTCTGAGATTAATTTTCCATTTTATTTTTTCGTTTCATTTCTCATGTGCTTTGAGACTCTTTTGGAATATTTTCGTAAAAGCAATATGTGTCGGTTCGCATAAATTGCTTTAAAATTTGTAAATCATCGTACTTGTCTTATTTGGTAGTGGGTCTATTATAATATAGTTTAGGAAATTCTATAGAATTATGGTGTTCTTCAAGTGGAGATCTGTAATCCAAGCTGAACAATATTTTGTCGTTTGTTTCGTATGACGTCTCAGATTCGCCACTGTGGGCTCGCCAGGCCGTTTCCCAGGTGTAATCGAGGAATAGATCATTGTTTTTTCTTTTAAATAATCTTTAAAAAAGCTGTAATTACACTGCTTTGCCCTGTACGGCATTGAGGATTTTCTCTCAGTAATAGCGTCGAGAAGCCATGGTATAAATCGTAAAGTTGTAAATTGATAATTTTAATTTGTAGTAGGCCGATACATTAGTTAAAAGAGGAAGCCGTTGTACTGCAATTAAATCACGACACCATGTGTGACACTTTCCATCCATTGCATCCGTTTTGTCTTTGCCTTTTTCTAAACGTGATGCTTCTTTAAGCTCAATGTGTTTTTGATAAGTTGTTCTCGATACATTGCCATGGAAGTGCACTGTACAAGTATCTCATTTATGCATTTTGGGTTGACAGATGTTAATGATTTTTATGTCTAAAAATATCGAAAGTATTTCTTGAATGCGATACTTCCCCTACTTCATTACATTTCACTAATACATATCGTATAATTGCCTCCATGACCTTATGTCTCCTTGAAGAAAAGCTACATCAGCGTCAATGTAGAACTGCTTGGTGTATTTTCGACAGTAAAGAGATGGTAGAGTAGGTAGAGAGTCAAAATACTTATTTTTAGAGTTTTGTGTCTTTTCTCCAAGCTCGTTGGAAAATATTTCCTTAATACTTGGGAATTTTCAGCTTCATCATCTGTTCGCAAAGTATTTTCGTTTGAAGTTTTCTTATTGGTAGGCATGTCGTTATAACAATACTTATTCAGCCAAGTGGTAACTTCACATTTTGGTCAATTTTTTACAGATTGTTGAGTTACAAGTAGTGTCCATTGTTCTCTCACTTTTTGTGAGATTTTTTAAAATGTGTTGCTGATTTAGCCTCGTCTCTTCTGTACTCCATATAAGCTTCTCCCATCATTATTCGCCTTTAATAATGTTTTTTGTCCATTTTTTCGGATTTGTTAGTGCATGTCTCTTCCTAGTTTTTAGTTAAATTGCTTTCAAGTCCTGTATATTAGTATTACTACTATTACTTCTCGTTATTTCACTTCCAATCACATTTTCATTTAAACTAATTAATCCTGCTTCAGTCTTGTCTTCACTTTCTGGTAGATAAATAACACTAATTCGCATATCTACTTTATTATTATTACAATTGGTTTCATTCAAGTCAAATGTATAATTATTTTCCTCTTTATTTACTTCACATACTCTTGATAATTTTGCTTTAGACTTGTCTTTATCTACTCGTAGATAAATAACACTAATACTCGTATTTGCTTCATTATTATCTAGATATTCCCTAAAAAACAATTAAGCAATTAAAACGTTATAAAAAATATTAAAATTTTCTACCAACCTCTTCTTTGCCAACATTAGCCATTTAACCATTAGCTGCCCTCTGTTTTTTGCTCTTCTGGGTGGACGGGTTAACTCTTTACTCGAACCATTATGACTGGCTAAAAAATAAAAAATCAAATCATACCAGATATCTATTTATTTTTACTTAATTTATACTAATTCGGTACAAAAGAATTCATTAAACTGTTTAAACAGATCAATATTGAAAAGAAATTAAAACGTCAACAGTACTTATCTCACGAAAGCCAAGACTTGCAACATTGAATATCTCACTGCCTTTTATAATTGTAAAAATCTATAATTACATTAAGCGACTACTAAATATTTGAGTAGTTTTTAATTATAAAGATACGTAGTAATAAAATAAAATTATTAGAGCTATTATTCTAATAATGAAACTTTAATAATCACTTACCTAACATTAAAAGACTCGTACGAGGTTATCATTATTTGCTTTGGAGACCACTGAGTTGTAACTGTTGTGGTATAAACTGAGATATTCATTGTTATCATTTCACCAAAAACAGTGCTTTCTGTTGGTCAGACGTTAAATTAGACGTCACCAAACGATTCGTTAGGTCATTTTACACAAGATAGCGCTCTTAACACAAAACTGACAAAAAAATGAGATATTCACTGTTCGAACTTAGGCAGCGATGTTGAATCATAGTCTTTACAATTTATTTTATAAATAACATTTGATTAATGACTGTAATTCAACATACACTGGGCAAACACACCAATACCTGCATAGAAGGGTTGTTGCACACACACATAGTGTAGAAACCAACAGATTAAACACAATAGCCCCAGCCAAACATTCTCTACAAAATGCACCATGGCAGATATTTAAAATATGACCCTAAACCACTCGTGTTTTAAGATACTTTCCAGATGTCATCTGTCAATGTGAGATACCAATTTTTTAATCCATTTTAAACTTCTAAAGAGTGTAAACATGAAATATAATTGTATAATGTAATGTTCATTAAAAAAGTGCTTATTGAAAATGGCAAATAGCCAAAACTTTTAAGCAATAGTTAAGACCGTCCGCACATTGGTCGATCGAAGCTACGCGTCTAAGTTCATGCGTCGTGCTCGTTTTATACGAACCCTGCGGCATGAGCGATTGTTCACCGCACACTAGTCGATTCAGTTTGCTGTTTGCTCACATCTGCCAACCAGGAAGAACGCATTTTTTATATATCCATATTGGCATATTCTTTCATTGTATAATTATACAATTGAGGGTATTTTTACATTTCCCCAACGAATTTTATATTAAACACCTAGAAACAGAAATTCAACGGTTTCAGAATTTTATATTACAAACAATATATTTCTACAAAGCTAGTAGTACTACAAACAACGAACATAATATTCGTCGATCTTAAAAAAAAATATTTTAGGACAAAAAACAATAAAAAACAAAGAAAACAAATACAATAATCTTATCCCATGACTGAAAACGCAGTTTAGATTTGCAATTCTAGACGACCACTAAACGCCCCGTGTGTGGAGCTCAATACAACAACGAAGGAACTTGGGCCGTGGGGAGAGACCTACGCGATTGAAATCGAGTCGAGCACATCGAGCGTCGACCCATGTGCGGACGGCCTAAGTATTTTTATTTACAACAGACCGACAAACCCAGAACATAAAAAGCCAACAAAACGATGTTATTCGTTTAACAACTCACATTAGAGTACAACAAATAATCCTTTATTTAAAAAATGTTTTTTTTTTTAGAAAATCAGCATGTTACATCTACGTTCAGATTATTTAATGCATAGTTTATCCAACAACAATTTGAAGCAAGTTGAATTCAACACTATTGCCGCAAGTTTTGGAAGTTTATCAACTATATTAACTCAGTATGATAAGTGAGTATTTAATCACATGTATTTAGCTCTAGATATATATATATATATAATATATATATATATATATATATATATATATATATATATATATATATATAATATATATAATCGGTCAGATAGCTCAGCGGGCTGTGCGGCTGCCTCTCATTCGCTTCACTGTCGAATGGTTCAGTGGATGTGGGATCGAGCCCCAGCTCGGTGTACAGAAAACAAAAAGTCTAACGCAGCAGTTTAAAATTCTAGATGAATCTGCGGCTTAGACTAGAATATGCTGGGATCTGATCGGCCTATGGTGGAGCAGTACGGCAAGAGATAAGGGCTTGCGGCTCGGTGATACTCCTCCATAGATCCCTACCGGACGGGCGTAACGCCTAAAAAACTATATATATATATATATATATATATATATATATATATATATATATATATATATATATATATATATATATATATATATATATACATAATGTTCCAAAAGATTTCCGCGATCACTGCAATTAAACCTAAAGATTAATATAATTACAATTATTAATATTCAACTTGACAGTCTTCCGGGCTGAACCTCGCCAATTATCATTGCGCCGAGCTTTCGACATCCTCTTTGATAACTTTTTCGGGGCTTTCAAGGTCTCACTTTCCCGAGCCCCAGACACTACTACACTGATCACTAAACAATGCATTACTGATACTAAGAACAGAGGACAGTTCATTTATACTGTGGATGGTGACGTGATTTGGGTGGAGATTGGCGTGTGGATCGGCGCGAACATTTCTGACAGTAGGATTTTGATTGTCGAGTGTAGCAATATTTTCTTTATGAAAGGTCTCTATCTCGTAGGTAACCGTATGCAATCGTCTCTCTTATTGATTTAGAGTTTTGATTAGAAGTAATGGCGAATATAGTTATATTAAAAATCTGAAATTATGAAGCTGTAGGTTGACGTTGCGTTGAAATATAATGTTGTCATGAATGTAGCACTTCCGTTTATACCGCAAGTAGACGTCAACTTTGTTATTTTAAATGGAACCTTGTAACCTCGGAAATCTTTTTTGGATGTTGCTAGAAAGATAACCAATGGAGACACTGCGGACGGCAGCCAGATGGTTGGTGGAGAGCGAGTCGTGGGTTCGAAACTAGCTTTTGGAACCGGGATTGTGTCCAACGGACGAAATAAGTAAATATAGGATAAGAGATATTAGAAAAGATATAGAAATAAACAAAAAGATAGATGGGTAAAGCTACCAAAGATAAGAGAAGATAGAAACAGGGCGCCACTCAATTTTTTGGGGTTAAGGAGAAAATTAAGAAACCTTAGAAAAGAAAAGAGATAAGGAAAGATATCCTTCAAAAATCAGAGATCAAACCCAAGGAAAGATACCAACAGTTAATTATCAAATAAATTTGGTCAACACAATATATAAACAAATAATAAATATATTAGGTATTACACTTACTTACCTACGAAACTTAATCAGCCTGATCTTTCTACTGGTCAAAGGTATAGTAATAAATTAATATACTAAGCAAATATTTAGAGCTACTATTTTATCAGGGAACTTGTTAGGAGCCGACAAATAAAATACATGCATAAAACATTAACAATATATTAAACACAAAATTATGATGCTGCTAAATGCAACACAAGTAATAAAAATACACAACTATGAAATTGTGTTATATATGTATAAAATTAAGCAATAATATAATAAAAAAATACCTTTAACAAAATATAGGGGCAATTATATCCAAATATAGTTTGGCGTATCTCGAGATATTATAGGAAATATAATGAGCAAAAATTATAGCAAATACAAAAGATAGCAAAAATTTCTTAACTCTAAATTTACAAAAAAACAAAACAAACAGGTTACAGAGTTGAAAACATTAACTAGCCAAACTGCACTTGGCTAGGTGGGTTACTATCTCGCACTATTAATTAATGCTAAACTGAGATGTTTATAGTTATTATTTATGGAAAGTTCTTGAATTGTTCTTTAAATTAAATATAAAAATCGGCAATCTACAGATGAAGATATGGATGAATGGTGGGTGATACGTCCAGATAATGGCAGGTGATATGATACCACACCATATTACTTACCCAGATAATTTGCAGATAAAGATTATGGTGACTTACATAATTCCTGATGACGGCAGCTTAATTCACTGAATTTAATATACTGTACTGGTATTCAACACTGAATTTAATTAGGTACCATTAAGGTAGTGTAGAACTATATATAACATAATGTAGTCTAAGAAAAGAAAACTGAAATATAGAGTGTATATGTCACCTCGGGGTAAATGGAAAGGGTCTCAATCACCTTCTGTACCACCGTGTGCTCTGTAGAGGGCTTCGGAAACGTCGACGAAAGCCCCTCTACTTGAATCCATTTGCGGGGTATGGATTCGTAAATGTTTTCTTCTGGTATCTTGCCTTGAAAAAGGCAAGATATTTCTTACATGACAAAGGTAAAGTCGAAATAAAAATACCAGGTTGCAGTAGAATAACATCTCAGCCACAGAGTATGGGAAAAAGCTAAAAAGAAAGCAGAGCCCCGAGAGCACTAAGCTCTCGGAGAGCCCGTGAAGGACTGACTTCATTGACCTGAAAATCGCCTATTTTTATACTTTCTGAAGTAGCGATTAGGGATTTCCAGGTCAGGGAGGGGCCAACGGGAAAAATAAGGGGCGGGGCGATGCGTCTCGAACGTGAACTAGTCGCGTCCGAGAACATCCCTCCTCCTTTGGAGACTCTGTGGCTGGGAAGGAAATTTATTGAATTATTAAAAAATTACAATAAAAAATACAATACAAAATACATGTGGAATACATGAAAAGAAAATATGAAAATGCAAAAAGTAATAAGTTCATAAAATCAAATTGTCTTTGTCAAACTCACAACACACTGCACTAACGAGGAAGGTCGGTGGCGTTGACGGCATCTCCGGCTCCTGCAGCTCCATTCTCGATCGGTGTGTCGACTCCTCCAACGGGTTCGTCTTCTTCTCGGTCGTCCGGATCCCATCTGCCATATTCAACGGGGTTTCGCAGAGTGCCAGGGTGTCGAAGCCTACGTGGTCGTCCAACCACTTTCGGTAGGGGGGCGATGACTGGGTCTGCTCCGGGACTTCCGTTGGCATCTGGGGCTTCTGACTTCGAAGAAGGCTGGCTCGTCAAAGTCGCCTGCACGTCGAAGGCATCCGGTCTGCAGAAGGCCTCGATGTCGGAGTGTCAGATAGCATTCTAACACTCCGTGGTTCTGCCCGTTCTTCTCTTGACTTCAACCCACGTTGGTTCAACCCAATGGTTGTAGCCTTCTGCTGTGAGTCAAGCTGGGTCGTGGGTGCGGATTTTAACCACGTTGTCGGGCGCCATGTCACCTCGGGGTAAATGGAAAGGGTCTCAATCACCTTCTGTACCACCGTGTGCTCTGTAGAGGGCTTCGGAAACGTCGACGAAAGCCCCTCTACTTGAATCCATTTGCGGGGTATGGATTCGTAAATGTTTTCTTCTGGTATCTTGCCTTGAGAAAGGCAAGATATTTCTTACATGACAAAGGTAAAGTCGAAATAAAATACCAGGTTGCAGTAGAATAACATCTCAGCCACAGAGTATGGGAAAAAGCTAAAAAGAAAGCAGAGCCCCGAGAGCACTAAGCTCTCGGAGAGCCCGTGAAGGACTGACTTCATTGACCTGAAAATCGCCTATTTTTATACTTTCTGAAGTAGCGATTAGGGATTTCCAGGTCAGGGAGGGGCCAACGGGAAAAATAAGGGGCGGGGCGATGCGTCTCGAACGTGAACTAGTCGCGTCCGAGAACATATACACACTTAGAAAATAATTCACAGAGACGATAATTTCAGGCAAGCGACTACAGCCACCGAGAAGTCTCACGAGATAATCGACCTGTGCTCAACGAGAGCCCACCGAGAAGTCTCTTGGTTCCACTAAAAATTTCACTAACTATCCAAGAAAAAAGAAGAAGAAGGTTTATCCCCCACTTAAAATCATCGGACAATTGTAGGTAATTCTGAGGAAGTAAAAATTCCGAAAGTTTTGAGTTACCGGTACCAACAATTGGACATGAGAAGCAGACAATACTTGGGATTAAGTTATTGTCAAAAGATACGGGCCTTCGGCGAAAATTATCAATTTATGTAAAAGAACCTGCATACCCAAAAGCATTATATCTTTTCATACTGAGTATTAAGACGGAAAGGATTAACTACCTTTAGTAATTAGGGAAGTCCATTATAATTTAGTAGATCCAATATTATTTTCTTATCGTAAACACGGGAATTCCTAATCATCGGCGTATCGCACGGGGGTAAAAGAGATTAAAAATAATTAATATTTTAATAATAAAAATAATGTTACAACCTAATATTTCTTATTTTATTTTCGAATTTTACATAAAAGTTTAAACAAAATTTGTGTACAAAGTTCTATACCTAAAGTTAAGCATTTTCGAAATATTTCGATTTTTTGAAAATTCTAGTCTACATTGATTAACTATATACAGATTGAACGAATTTAAAACGGATCATACAATTTAATATATGTCTGTTTGAAACTGCATTTGAAATAGTGGACCAATATAAAACTTGGACAAAAATAAATCCATACCTGGCAATAGACATTGTATAAAATATGGTTCAACTCTCTGTCTCGCAACAATGTTGTTTACGTAACAATGTTGCCAATCGCCGTGTAATAATCCGATTTGCGGATCTTTTTGAGAGTTATATCTTCTTCCTATCTTTAAATAAATCGAATATTTGCCTATATTTTTCATTGTATTTACCAATCTACTACAACAGACTAATAACAAAAATAAACTTAATGGTTTGTAGTTATTTCCTTTCTTTTCTGTAAATATTTTATGGTTAACAACTTATTTGAGAAACATCTAGAGGAATGATTTTGGCAACACCGCTCAAAATATCCATCTATGGGAAGCGATAAGTGGTTTGACAGCATAACAAAATCTTAGATT